AAAAACAGAAAGAAGCCACAAAGAGAAAGCAATGACAAAAATAATAAAGTTAAATTTTACACATAATATAATTTATTAAATTAGAAGAGACGTAATGTTCAAAATAAAAAAAAAATGCATCTATAGGTTTTTTTGGGTCAAGGTGTAAACCAAGTGAAAATAGGTCTAAAACATTGCGGATAACCTTTACTTGAGAAATAAAATTATTTAAATTTAGGTTTCATAACCAAAACAATAGAATTAAATTTATACATAATAACACATTGGAAACTTCACTCCAATTTCATGGTCAAATAAATTTGAAACAAATTTGTCAAATTCTATGTAGACCATTATAATATAATGCGGCAAAATAAAAGCTTATAGCATGAAAACTGAAACTAACAGTTATAGATAATTCAATAATATCAATATATTATATCTTTTAAAGGCTAATTTAAAAATATTTATTATTGTGAATTTTCATTCCAATTTTTCATTTACTTTTTTTCTATCTTCACAAATAATCAATTAAATTGTTATTGATTGGTGGGCCAGTCCAAGTTTAATTATAACCTCATATTTATTAAATATGTTCATATTTGCTTTTTCAACCGATCGATAACTTAAAAAAGAGAAAACATGACAAAATAAATTACAAAAAAAAAAAAATCTATTAAAATATTTAATTTTTAAAGAGTTCTAATATATTCATATGGAGTATTATATATCATAATCATAAAAAAATATTCAAAATAAATTAAATAGCTTTGATTGTGAAGTATGGAGAGGAAAATACATATATATCGTTCAATTTTTTGATTAATTTCTATTTATATATTAGGCATTTTGATATTGATTTTGTTGTGATTAGGAGTATCTTGTTTGGACAAAATACATAGTGTGTATAATTTTGTTAATATTTAGTTAGTACAATTTATTTTAGCTTTTTCCAAAATCTTGAAGAGACCATTTAAACGTATGTGCATAGTTTTTTCCCCTCATTTTAGTTTATTTGTTGGCCCATATTTATACAATAATGAATTTTTTAAAAGAAAATGTCTAATGGGTAATCTTATTGTTAATTTTTGTCTATATATCGATCATTAAATTTTTTAGAATCAGGGGATTCTCACAGATAAAATTTCACACAACATACTAAAGATGCAACAATTATATTTTCTTAATTACATATCACAAGTGTTAGTTTACCTTTTATTATTTTAGAATTATATATTACAATTTAAACATTTTATTCTTATTATTTTTCATGAATTTATCAATATGTATTTAAGAAATAAGTTAAATTAAAATTATCAGAAATTCCATGCAAAGTAAGTGTTGGTGTTGACCTAACATTGACTGTTACCATTTTGATTGTTTCAATAATATAATTTGGAAGTAAATATCTTAAAAGTCTCTAAAAAAATATATATTTTGATATATAGACCTAATGTTTTCTTACTGTTCACATTTAGACGGACATACACTGTTAAGTTTGTATGCGAAATAAAAATGAGATGATTTTGTTTTAGAACATGACATGAAGTTAGGTTTGTGGGTAAGCGATAGGGTAATGATACGAAATGAGTATTGTGAAAGGAGAAAAAAAAAAGAGAGAAAGAAAATGATGACAGAAAGAGTGAGAGTATCCCACCATAAGAAAGAGGGAACAGTAATGGCGTGATTTTTATTTTGAAGACTGGGTAAGAAAATATATATTTATTATTCTATTATTCAGTGAAAATCTATATTACACAAGGTCTTTTATATTGATTTCGGTGTTATTTAATTTAATTTATTTTTAGTTGGTATCATGTGTTCTATATAGGTCTAAAGTTTGAGATAATCTAACAGTTTGCTATTAAAGAAACTCACATCATTTTAACTTTTATCGATCTTCAAGTATGTAACTGTATTTTTTTTATGAATAAAATAACATATTGTGGTCAATATAATTAAATTTTTATTCGTAGAACACATATATCAACTACTTTTTTCTTATAATATATCATTAATGTTTGTTTAAACAAATAATTTTTATTATTTTAGAATTTATGTAATATAATTTAAATTTTTTTTCTTATTACTTTACCAAAATTCTGTCCATGTACATTTCTAAAATTATAGTAAATTACATTTCTTATGATTTTCAAGTGAAAAACAAGTAATATATTATTTACTTGAACATTTATCTATTAACGATCTATCTGTAACTTTACAAAAAAATGATCCATTATGCACATCATTCTCATATCGCCCTCACACTTATTTTACTAAAAGCGAATTGCTGATATTTAATTTTTTAATAAAAAATAAAATATGCAGGTCAAATTTAAAACTAAATACATGAGAACAAAAGTTGGGCCGTCTTTGTGTTTTTTAGTCAAGCTTTCAATTTATGTTTCTTAAGTTTAATTGACTCATATATGTTAACATTAATTATGTTATGTGTATGGCAATTTATTTGTATAATAGTAACAATGACTTTATTTTGTTTCAAGATAATTAAAACTATTTTATTAAAGAGACAATTTTATAAATAAAAAAAAATATCAAGAAATTAATATGAAAAACACTTTATTATGTTGAATATCACATATATGATTCTTTTTTGTAAGTTTAATGAATTTAATTTTAAAAATTTGAAGGAAAAACATATTCTATGTTTTAATCACATACCGTCGCACATTATTGTTGTTTCTAGAGTTATAAATTTTTTTAATAAAAATTTTAAGATGTGATAAATAAAAATATTATTCTACTTTTTATTGAATAACTTTTCATTCATTTAAATTAATATGTACCCACATCACTTATAACTAACGTACTAGTTTATCTTTATTTTAAGAAAACACGCACGAAAAACCAACAAAAAATCCTTTTATCATGCAAATTGTAGCTTACAACAAAATCTCTTCTATCTCCCACAGACGCACCCCAATACCGTTTAATAAACACATGTCAGTACGTATAAAAAGTTAAGGGCTGTGGGGGCAAAATAATAAATTGAAATTGACAACCTCGAGAAAACAATAAATACAAACCAAATTAAGCCACACACTCTGTCACAA